CATTTTCAATGAATTTTTTTAAAATTAAAATCCTATACAAACAATTGTTCACATGCCCAAACTACAGTAATGCAAACTAATATAAAATAAGGTATTTTTTAAAAAAAAAGAGAAAGCAAAAAAGTGCCAGAGAAAAAGAAAAAATTGAAGAAAAATAGGGAAAATTGTATTAAAAAATAGCTTCCAGTATTTTTCACAGCAATTATAACTACAATTATATTTTAAGCTTTCTAAAGTTACATAATAATAGTTTTCTTTTTGTAATCGATCCTGTCTAATCAACAAAGCATAAATCACAAGTTTATTTTTTCATGCCAAAGCTTGAAAGCTTCTCGTCACCAATAAATGATAGAGTGTGACTTTTCTTTAATCAAAGTTGATGTATCCATCAGCAAACTGGGATGATTTCTATTGCCTGAACTGTGGAGGAGGTAGTAGCCTTTGCCATTCCTATTTCCTGCAAATAATCCAGCAATAACCCAAAAAGATGCTTGTCAGAGATGCTCCCCAAAAAAGGGAGAATGAAAAATCTGGACTCAACCCCAGTATGGCTTGCATATTGGTCTGCATGTAAACTCTTTGAATCAGAAAATTTAAAGATAAGTAAATAACCAACAAAACAGTTCAATTGAGTCACAATTCAAATGATTGATATTGAAATGTATGAAATTGTTATATATTCATGGACACCCTTTCAGTTGGGTAACTATTTCCTCTTTGTAGAAGAGAACTTCAGAAAAATAATTTAATCCTTTTGAAACAAGAAGCAGGGAGAGTTGTTCTGAGTACTTATAAATTATAGTTCAATTATTTAAATAATTTATATTTATTTATTTCAAGCCTCATTTGAGGGAGAGTTATGTTTGTAATTTTTACAACACAGGAAAAGTAATTAAGGCTCTCCACACCCAGAATTCATAAGAATCCTGGTCTGAAGGCCAAAACAAACAAAACATTAAATACATTGATTGTCCAAAGCAGCAATAATGAGTTAGTTGCCCAGAACTGTCTGTTTATGTGTGTCATTTAATGTCATAAAATGACTGTTTTGCCATGGATAAGTTAAACATACTATAGCCAACGTGGTTCCATCTGCAAATTTATTTACACAAAAGGAAAGGGCTACCTCTAAAAATTTATTTTAAAGTTTGGTTGAATTTCAAAGAGTTTTAAGTCCTGTTCTTTCCCCAGTGATATTATTTCTCAATAAGATATTCACTAGCAATGTAATCCTATGAATTGTTATGAGAGACCAAATCATATCAACAATTCCTGCCTTCTGTACTCACATCAGCATTTCTTCGCTGGGAAACCTAATTATACATATGCACAGATGGCATCCATCTTGGGATCATTATTTTTTAAGAATGTGATGATATAAACATTTTCCATCTAAGTATGGAAAGCATATCTGCTTTTCCTGTTATCAACAGCAACCCTGGGGACATGGGAAGCTGGGGCAGGCTAACAAGCTATCAACTTCATGGCAATTGGGAGAAGTTTAAATCTAGTGGTTCCATTTCAATTTCAGCAGCATTATTCTTTTGGTCTAATTTGCTTATCGTATTCATAGTAACAGTTTCTTAGATAAATCAAAGTGATTTACATGGTAATCATCCCTGATTTTATCCCCATAGTAATCTTGAGGGGGAAAGTGAACTATATGGGATGGGCCCAAAGTCAACCATTGAGTTCTATGGTTGAAGTGGGTTTAACCTGAGTCTCCCTAGTCCAAATAACATAACCACTGTGCCATTCTGCAATGAGGTATGAGATTGGTTTTTAGCTAAGTTATACTGTCAAGCACATAGATAAGATCGGTCATCTATTTTTTGCACCTAATAATTACTTTTTGGAAAACTATGATTTTATTTTATTAAAATAAGTATCCGAAGTTTATCACAGCTTTAGTGCTCCCATTGACTGGTTATGTGTCTGGAAAAAAGTCAAGACCTCTACTGCCATAATTTGTTGTCAAATTTTAAGAGTGGAGTATTGTTGGACTCTGTGGATTGCACACAAAAAAGCTGGGAAATTTAACATATGCAAGTATCAGTGTAGGAAGTGGTAACAAGGAGCTACCCTACTCAAAATTAACCCTCTAATGTAATTAATCTGTCAGGCTTGGAAGCCATCTTTGTATTGGGCCTCAAGCCTGCCACATATTCAGACATATTCTACTGTGGGAAATTGGGAAGGAGTATTGTATGCAGCATGGGAAATATGTAGCCATAATAACATTCCTTCTCAGAGAGTGAAGGTCATTTTGTGATGTGATGGACATGTGGGTGCTGGGGCAGGGTCTTGAACTTTCAACTGGGTGGGGAAAACCTGGAAGCATTCAGATTCGGGTTTTCCCAGATGTGCCAACATGGCTTCTTTAATAAATTTGAATTTCGAGGAACCTTTAGCCTCAGATTCTTTATTTGATGAAGGATGCTATTTGGAACCCTGGCATAATCATTGTCTATAGGCCTTTAGTGGTTCTGATAGTAGACATCTGTGGTCTAAAATCACTCACTGCATAAAATTGCAATTAACCAGAATTTAACAAGAGATTAACTTGGTGGCTATCAAAGACCAATATTATTATTTTTTTCCTCCTCTGCTTTGCTGCTGTGTGGTGGCTAATCTGAAGTAAGTTCAGTCACCAGAATATAGTGCAGTGCATTGGGGTGAGCCTACAGACGTTGCCTCGTTTTATCCTTTTGGAATTGATGACCGGCGGAGACATGAAGAGCTTCCTACGGCAGAATCGGCCTCGGGAGGTGAGTCAGCTCTTCCTTTCCCCAACCTTCTCCCGCTCTGACATCCAATGAGCTGTTCAAACAAGATTTATTTTCACAGTTTGAATAAAGTAGCTGCCATATATGCAGGTCTAGTGACTGTCCTGTTTAGTGACCATTTGCAGTTATGGTGGTGATGAAAAAATAACTTTATGACCAATCTTTACATTTTTACACTTTGCAGGTCTATGAAACAAAAGAAAGATGATATAAGATGATAAAAATACTGTATTTTTTGGAGTATAAGATGCACCTTCTTCCCTCAAAAAGAGGCTAAAAATCTGGGTGTGCCTTATACACTGAATACAGCTTTCAGAGTGCTCCTGGGACTAAGAAGGGCAGAAATGAGCCAAAAATGGGCTGTTTTTTGCTCAATTTTGCCCCCCCCCCAGCCCCCAGGAACACTCTATAAGCCTCCTAAAGGTTATGCATGCCATTTTGGGGGGGGCAGGGAAACGGGCCTGTTTTTGCAAAAAGCGAGTCATTTTTGAGTGCAAAAACTTTTTTTTTTAATTTGCCTCTTCAAAATATTGGTGCGTCTTATACTCCGGTGCATCTTATACTCTGAAAAATATGGTAGTCAAGGTTTCACTTAGCAACAGCGTCATTTAATAATAAAGTTGCCAGTCCCAGTTGCAGTCACTCATGGATAAGCCAAAAATTTTACTTGCCAAAATACACCCCAATAAAGGAGAATACCTGTAGCTCAGTGTTGAAATGAAGGGTCCCTGGTGCTCTCTGAGCTTGGTTGTTTTCATGCAGATGTTTCATTACCCATGATAGGAAACATCCTAAGTCCTAGACCACTGTACTGACCAGCCTTGCTGATGTTACCTAGTTTGGGTAATGAAGCATCTGCAAGAAAACCACCAAGCTCAGAGAACACCAGGGACCCTTCAAAATTCACCTCCAAAATTGGTTTTATCTTAGCCACAGATTATTTGCAAGTATGTAAGAAAGAGAGAATTTTATATAAGAAATACATTCAAAGAAAGAAAAAATAGTAAAGTAAATGTGAGAAAGAGAAAAAGAATAGACGAACAGAAAAGACAGGAAAAAGAATCTAAAATCCAGGAAACATGAAGTATGTATATATATGCCTTCCTCTCCTCCGCAGTTATCCATACAATTCTAATCAAATCACTCTCCTCAACATTTCATCATAACTCCCTTCTCTCTATAACCTTTTTTTTTCTACTCATCAAAAAGATTGCCATGTTGTTCTAACATTATCTCATATCATGGGTTGGCATGCTGCACGATCCTAGCTGAGTTTCTACATGCATAACAAAGTTTGTGGGAATGGCATTAGACACTCTGAGCCAAAAAAAGAAAAGCTTCAAAAGTCACATTTTCCTCTTACTTGAAACGCACACCCCAGGATATGATATATAATAAGCATGTAGTGCTTTGGAAAAATAATAGTAGAGATGTTTATTTTTTCTGGAAAGCACCAATATTTCTTGGCTTGAGCTGGCAGGGCAGAAGGCACGGTGAGAGAGGGAGAGGGAGAGAGACAGCTTTTCCACTTTTAATTTGGTTCTGTTCCCTCTATTTTTGTTTGTTCTTTCAAATGGGAGAGAAACAAACTATGCTTCCATGATCTGAAAGGGACATCATTCTGAGCTGAAATAGATCATTGTACCCAACATTTCAACTGAGGGATGGAGCTGAGCTGAAATAGATCATTGTACCCAACCCAATATTTCCCTATCTTTTCAGTTTCTGAAGCCGAAGAGGGTAACACTTCACACCGGTCCTGGGCACAATTAAACATTGTGAATAGTTTTCTCTCACTTCCACCTTTACTGGCAAGTAATCCTCATTTAGTGACCATAACTGGCAACTCAAACAAAGTGGTGACTAAGTAAAACCGCCATTGTGCTTAGGATCTTATTTCAACTTACATTTGCTATATATTTATGAACCGCAAAAATTGTCTATTCAAGGGTTGGTTGTGAAATTAACTTTTTGATGATCATTGTAACTGTGAATGGTCACTAAATGAGGCAGTTGCTAAACAAGGACTGTCTGGTTTTAATTTCCTTTGCCTTCCTCTTTGTCTCCCTCTCTCTCAATGGCATGCCATACAGAATCAACCATCCGCTTTGACGATGCTGGATTTGCTAAATATTGCCAGGGACATTGCTTGTGGTTGCAAATATCTTGAGGAGAACCATTTCATTCACCGGTGAGTAAGGTTTTTCCACATAATGATTGAGACGTGCTTTTTTTTAGGTTGGGTTCCTATGCATATCTTTTTTTTTATTGATGGTCCTACATAAGGTTACATTTCTCATGTTATGTCACTTGTACAAAAATCCTGTATTTGCCCAAAGGTGCTTTCAAAGAGGCAACTGGACTTTCTTTGTTTTTGCTTGAAGACTTTTCATCCAAGAAGCTTCTTCAGTTCTGACTGGCAAAGCATCTTTGGGACAGCCAATGTCCTGGACAACTACGAATCTCCATAGACAACTTGTGCTTCCAATTTCTTATGCTAGAACTATGGAAACTTGTGATTAGAGCATTCGCTGATTGTGCTGATATTGTGCTGTTTCACTGAGGAGTTCCTTCATTAGTAATCACCCAATGCCTTCCTACACTTCATCTGTTGTTTTTTACACAAACACAATAAGATGGAAAAGCTGTATAATGTGTACTAATATTAGGATGGGTACTTTTGGAGACATCCAAAGTGTTCTCTGGCAGATCTGTTTCCAAACAGATAAAAACTTGTTCCATGGATATTGGGAAGAACCATGACTTTCTAAAAATCTCAAGCAGAATTCTCAGAATTCTGCTTTGAGATTTTCTGAGATGAAGAGCAACTACCTGCAGCAGCCTTACTTGGTACTATTTCAAGTAATTTATGTAATTATAGTGTGAACTATATTTCTTTATTTATTGTCCAAGAGCAATATTTAAATATATCCAATATGTCCAATATAAAACAATGATGTAAGGTAATTATGTAAAATAATAAACTAAAAAGCCAAATGCAATTTGGATACCTTCATTTTTAAAAATACTTTCTTTTTTTTTTCCAAAGAGGACCTGTGCAACATTCTCCCCAATAAAAAAAGTCAAACTTCTGACTCTGGTTAGAGATTCAGAT